GGGGAGAATAACCTAAAAAATCTCTTCATTTTCTTTCTTTCTATTTTTATTCCCCCCATTTTCCTCAATCAAAGCGCACTATTAAAACATTTCAATCAAGTTTCCGGCCAAAAAAAAAAAAATTTCAATCAAGTTTGTTTAATTCATAATCATAAAATAGAGGAAAAATCTCTTCAGTATCTTTTTAATTTTTTTGGGAAATGATTTTAGAATAAATTTTTTATTATATTTTTTAAATACAATATGATGTATCACTTATATGATTGATTTTTTTTATTTACATGAATCTTATGATATCGAATGCATTCATTTATTTAATAATATATAAAAATTATATCAAAAAATAATATAAAAAAATTATTCCTATGACATCGTCTTTTTTTTTTTTTCGTTATTTTCCCTCAATCAAAACGCGTCATTAAAATATTTCAATCAAGTTTGGTTAATTCACTCAGGTGAGATTTTGGGTTACAATTGATCAAACTGACCACTCCTTTTAAATAATTCTAAATATGCCAAACTTTGAATTTGTAATAATAATACTCAAACTAAAACTTAAAATTTTAGATTTTTTTTTTTTTACAGTTTATATGATAAATAAATTTTTAATTAAGAGAAAAAATTTACTTGTATTTAAAAACAAATTTAATGTAAACCGTTTCACATAGATATAAAATTTCAACTCATATATGTAAATATATGATAAAATAAAAGAATTTATATCTTATAATAAATTTATATAATAAATTATATTTTTAATGTATATCTCACTCTATAAAATATTTGTTTTTCATAAATTAAATGATTAATTTAAAGAAATAAAAAGGAGAAAATATACAATAAATAAAATGGCGGGCACTAGGAAGCATCCTTAACGACCCTCGGTCTTGACCGTTGACTATAAACTGCACCATCTACGCATCTACTAAAACCTCAAAAGCTGCAACCCATCTCCCCACTACCCACTCAATTCCATTCAATTCAGACCCTTCAAATTCAGCTACAGACCCACTTCGATCTCAATCCTTCCCGATGCCGATTATGGGTGATGGGGTGGCAGCTGCGGCGGCCGAGGTGCAATACGTCAAGGCCAAGACTTCGGTCTGGTGGGACATCGAGAACTGCGCCGTCCCCAAAGGTTGCAACCCCCACGCTATTGCCCAGAACATCGCCTCCGCTCTCGCCAAGATCGGATATTGCGGACCCCTCTCCATCTCTGCCTTCGGTGACACCAATCGCATCCCCTCCTCCGTCCAGCACGCCCTCTCCTCCACCGGCGTCACCCTCAACCACGTCCCCGCCGGTAATGTCTCCCTTCTTTTCCACGTCTTACGAAATCATCTTCCTCTCTCTTCTCATTGTATCTAGATTGTAGATCACCCATTTCACACCCACCTGCTCTGCTTCTGGGGATCATAAAATAAATTCAATTTTTGGCCTTTTTTTTTTTGGGTTATATAATTTCAGCCAGGGCCACCTTGTTCCTAGTTTTTTCTGCTTTTCAATTTCAGCCATAATTGTAAGATTTTTTTTTTTTTTTGGGTTTTTTTATTATTATAGGGACAATTTATGAGATACATCAGTGACTGAATTTTGGGGTGTATGATTTTTCTTTTTCTTTTTCTGATTTCCTTTTTCATTTCCAAAACATGTGAATTGTGAGGAGATTATATTGCTATAGTGGATAGGGATTCTCCTGCTTTTTCATCCATTGATTTTGGGAGTTGTTTTGGGCATGTAGGAATTGGTTCTTAAGTTGCATTCTCCATTTCTCTATATTGATCTTCATCAACAAAATCTGTTTCTCAGAAGTCAGAACTGAGGATCATGTTCTGCTTTCTTTTTCATTTTTTGGTCTGCTGTATTTGGCCGTCATTCATTATCAAACCTTGCTAAAATTTGAAGCTGCTAGGTTTATGGATACCATGTTTGTTATGGTTAATGGTTTCAATGCAAACAGGTATTAAAGATGCAAGTGACAAAAAGATACTTGTAGAGATGTTGCTCTGGGCAGTTGACAATCCTGCACCGGCTAATTATTTGTTGATCTCTGGTGACCGAGACTTTTCTAATGCTCTTCACCAGCTGCGCATGAGAAGATATAATATTCTTCTAGCACAACCTCAAAAAGCATCTGCGCCCCTTCTTGCAGCTGCAAAGAGAGTATGGCTTTGGACAAGCATTGTGGCTGGAGGACCCCCACTCCCAGATGGAGAACCTCAACAACCTGGTAATGGGAGAGGCACTAACTCTGTATCCACTTCTAGCATGATACGCATGCCAGTTTCTGATGCCATACAGACAAACCCACAAATGGATTTTTATTCTGAAAATCCTCGTTTGGGAGGTCAGAAGTTCTCTTGTGCGGGGAGGACTTCTGATGCAAAATACAATGGCAAAATGAATGTGACAAATGCCAGCCAATCAAATAGATCAAACAGTAACGGTCCTAACTTTTCACGGAGCAACACCAACAACATACAAAGTAATGTCGGGAATCCTTATTCACAAACATTTAGGCCAAACAACTTTACTACACAATCTGATTCTGCACTTTGTAATTTGTATCCACCTAATTCCCAAACCCATACTTCTCCACAGTTGACTTTGAGGCCTGATGGATCGAGCTTTTCTTCAGGTCTGCTTAAAAACATCCCTGATGTTAGTAATCTGAACATTTCTGGATATAGCAACAGTCTGCATGGTTCTGCAGTGACCCAACAACAAAATATATTGCAGAGCATTGATGCTATCAACAAACCTCCAAACTCACAAAATGGACGTATGGTGCCAAATATGCCACAATTTCATCATGATCCTCGGAGCAATAGGTACCCTCTTGGTCCCGAATATCCATCCTCATCGTCATCAGTAGTGACCTCAAGTGTGAATCCTGGTAATGTTACATGGGGAACTCCAGGATGTCCAAAACCTTCTGAATATGTCCAATGTCTCATAGGGGTTGTGTTACTTGCATTGAACGCCCTGAAGAATGAAAAGATAATGCCAACTGAAGCAAATATAGCTGATTGTATACGATATGGAGATTCTAAGCACCGCAATACTGATGTTAAGAAGGCACTGGAGAGTGCTATTGAGAATCAGATGGTAGTGAGGCAGAATTTAGGTTCATTGCAGTTTTATGTTGCAAAGAACGACAAGCTCTGGAAGTGTGTGAACCCCATAGGTGGTAATCCCTTGCAATACCCAAAAGAAATTTGGGATGATCTAAAGAAGTTTCTCACATCCAGTGCTGGACAGTCTGCTATGCTGGCTTCTCAGTGCAGGTAAAGTCTACTAAGCTTCAGCTTAATTCAGGCTTTGTTTTTATTTCATCAAACAATTATAACCTGCCTTACACTATTTCAAATCTTTGTAATAGGTACGAAGCCGGTACTATTTTAAAGAACATGTGTTTGAAAGACCTTGCACTGGGTGATGTACTTCAAATCTTGAATATGGTAATAGCTGGTAAAAAATGGATTTTACATCATCAGTCAGGGTGGCAACCCATTTGCATAACTGTTCCAAATATTGACAATGATTTTGGTCCCGGAGCTGCTGCATGATTTCAACAAATGCTATGTATGGTAGGAGAAAAGATTTGTCTAGATGGTTAAAGTGTTAATAGATGCAACTATAGCTTGGTGGTAGGTTAGAACCGGAATGGTGGAAAGGAATTTGAGTCAGTAGCTATCATCTCTATCATCTAAGTTGATTTATGATGATGGTTATGGTAAGCGTTTTTCTAGTAGTATGTCGTATTCTAATTTCTTCTATAGCTGACTAATTTTTTGAGTTTATCTGGAATTCTGGAGTAAAGTTGAAAGAAGCCATTGAACAGATGGAGATAGGCAGACATATTTAGCTAAATACCTGTCGAGGTGACAGAGGGACTTGTTGCTATTGCGCAGCTTGCTTTGTGCATGCCTGTTCCTATATTAACAAATGGGTTGGAGCCTGGTACAGTATCTCCTTCTTTCATGTTTTGGGTTTTGTTGGGAATTGTTCAACTAGAACAAGTTTACAGCATGGCATTGAATCAACAAATTTCAAGGAAACAGTTCTGGGGAAGAAATGTGTATATATTTTTGGTTTGTGCCCTGCCCCACATATGATCATCCTCACAAGTTAAACAGTTTATAATCTGTATTAAAGCCATGCAAAGGGATTTACTCAGTGTGTGTTTCAAAAAAGGTTCATTGAGTTACTGCTCGAAATGGATCTAGATTGACAAGTACAATCATCATGGGAGATGGTTGTGATTTCATCTTCAACGTAAGACATAAATATGACTACTTGACAGAGAAGCAGAAAATCAAGAGTATGATTACTTACCACTCTGCTATGAACTCCCACCATGAAGCGTATTTGATTGTATAGTTTGATCAATGCTGAATTGATCCAAAAGGAATAAAGGTGCACTCGTTCAGCACCATAAGTTCCCTAGTCCTGGATGTTGCTTGTATTTCACTCTGTAATTAAGTTATTTTGAATTCCATTCACATCTGTGTGTGGAGAAACCTCAACTTTGTATGTTTTGTGTAAGCCGATTGCTGTGGAATAAACATATTTTGTTCGTCTTATACTGTATATTTCCTTCATTGGGAAGGAAGATGATTTCAGTTGAATCAGTATAAACTTTTGTGAAGCATCTTCCTTTGAAAAAGACAAGAAGATTATATTGCTCTCTTTAAGATAGAAACTAGTACAAGAAATGGTATATATTATGAGTAGAATACGTTTCTCTCCGTTCGCTGCATTGACAGTCTTCTGGGAACCTCACCGTCGGGACCATTGACTGTAAACTGTAAAGTCCACCACTTTGGCTTCTGCCAAAACCTCAAAAAGCTGCAATCCATCTTCTCATTCAAATCCAGACCCACTTCGATCTCATCGTGTGGATACCGATTATGGGTCATGAGGCAGCAGCGGCAGAGGCACAGTACGCCAAGGCCAAGACATCCGTCTGGTGGGACATCGAGAATTGCGCCGTCCCCAAAGGTTGCGACCCGCACGCCATTGCCCAGAACATCGCCTCCGCTCTAACCAACATTGGATACTGTGGACCCGTCTCCATCTCCGCCTACGGTGACACGAAAAGCATCTCCGTCTCCGCCCAGCACGCCCTCTCCTCAACCGGCGTCACCCTCAACCACGTCCCGGCTGGTAATTCATCTTCCTTTTGTAATTTTGCATCAGCCATTCCAGTCAGATCCACATGCCCTGCTTGTGCTTGCGTTTGTCCATTTCTCTTTATTGATCTCATCTCATCAACAGTATCTGATTCTCAGAAATGGAGATCATCATCTGTTTTCTTCTCCATTTCATTTCATAGTTTCTTAGTTTTATTTGGCAGCCATTCATGGTCATACCGTGTTTGTTATAGCTAATGGTTTCAACGCAAACAGGTATTAAAGATGCAAGTGACAAAAAGATACTCGTAGACATGTTGCTCTGGGCAGTTGACAATCCTGCACCTGCTAATTATTTGTTGATCTCTGGTGACCGAGACTTCTCTAATGCTCTTCACCAGTTGCGCATGAGAAGATATAATATTCTTCTAGCGCAACCTCTGAAAGCATCTGCGCCCCTTATTGCAGCAGCAAAGACTGTATGGCTTTGGACAAACCTTGTGGTTGGAGGACCCCCACTACCAAATGGAGAACCTCAACAACTTGGTAATGGGAGAAGCTTTAACTCTGTATCCACTTCGGGCTTGGTACACATTCCACTTTCTGATGCCATTCGGATAAGCTTCCCTGAAGTTAGTAAGCTGAACATTTCTGGAAACAGCAATGGCCTTCATGATTCTTCTTTGTCCGTGCAACAAAAACAAACTATAGTTCAGAGCAATGATGCTATCAACAACCCTCCAAACTCACAAAATGGACGTATGGTGCCGAACATGCCACAATTTCAGCATGACCCTCAGAGCAATGGGTACCCTCTTGGTCCTGAATATCCATCCTCATCTTCATCATTAGTGACCTCAAGTGTGAACCCTGGTAATGTTACGTGGAGATCTCCAGGGTGTCCAGAACCTTCTGAATTTGTCCAGGGCCTCTTGGGGGTTATCATACTTGCTTTGAATGCCCTAAAGAATGAAAATATAATGCCAGCTGAAGCAAATGTAGCTAATTCCAAGAATGAGAGTGTGAAGATTAAGGAGGTTGTTTCAAATGCTGAGAAGGGAGAGAAAGAAGAGAGAGGGAAGAGCAGCTTTGGGCTAGAAGATGGGCAAGCCACAACAGGGAAGAGCTGGAGAAAGAATGAATCGGTTGATGTTGCTATTGCTGCGGCTGAGCCCCAGAGCAAGGGGGAATTGGACAGAAAACTGCCACCATCGCGCACTAACAAGATCAATAACTGGTCCACCACGAAGAAATCAACCAGGAATGGGAATGGAGTTGGAAGTGGATTTGACAGGGGAGAGAGGGGAGAAAGAGGAGGATTTTTTGACTCCCAATCGAAAGGAGATGAAGTTGACAGCTGGGTATCAAACATGAGTGATAACAACTACACTGAGGCACTTGGGAGGTTCGATGATCATTTTGAAAGGAGAAGCAATTTTGATTCCCTGAAGTCAAGGGACTCTCCAAGAGATTCAGATAAGAAAAATGAGGAGAGTGGCAGTGATGGTATAAGGCCGAAGCATGTTCTGCAGCCATGGACGGTGCCTTCGAATGAAAAGGGAAAGGGGGAGTCACCTGTAGTTAAGCCTAAGGTGTCCAATCCATTTGGGGAGGCAAGGCCAAGGGAGGAGGTGTTGGCAGAGAAAGGGAAAGATTGGAAGGAAATAGAAGAGAAGCTAGATGTTATGAAGATTAAGGAGGTGGTTTCAGGTGCTGACAAAGGAGAGAGAGGTAGGAGCAGTTTTTGGCTTGGAAATGAGCAAGCCTTGACAGAGAGGAGCTGGAGAAAGAA